TATGCGCTATCTCTGATGGGAGGTGTCTTGCTATCCTACTTGTACCGTGAGATGGGTAGATCGGCGCTGCAGATAACGGCATCTTCTTCACTTGGTGGTGAATTTGGTGGATGGTCCGCCTTGCTGATGATCTGGACGTGGGAGTGGTTTCCTCATACATCACCACTACATGTGGAGACGGGTGCGCAGATTACTCAGGACGCAGTGTCACGTGGCCTTCGGTGGCTTCCGGCCCACACCCGTCAGCATGGAGATCAGTTCTACCTGTACAAGCTGTGGTTTGACGAGTGCACGACATTCGTGGTTAGTATATAACATTTTGTTTTATAGAATAGTTTTAATTGATTTGTTATATATTTAGGAGTAATTATGTGACCAATGCTGGTGTGCAGTGGCGTCCATACTATTATAGAGGTCAGGACTACAGCGGTACGGTGATCCAGTCCGACACGTTTCGAGCAGTAGTTCTACTGATCTGCTTCTCATCGCAGATGTGGCATCATCCAGATCGCGTGCTCGGACAGTTTGGGATGATTCAGGACCGGCCTCATGCTCCACATTCCGTGGCTGAGCTTAGATTTTTTTCTTCGTCAGGGACAGCATGGGCCATCACGTGGCCAGCAGTTCATACAGGCAGCCAACGAGTCGATTGAGTTGTGGAACCGTCGACATGAGTTCATCGCGCAGACGAGCTACAGTGACGTACCTTTAGCTTACCACTCGGAGCATCAAGAGTGGTATAGAGATGTCACTAGATGTTCAGGCACACGGAGAGTTGCTGCACTGAACACAGCGGTGAGTTTTTTAGTACTTAAAATTTGTGTTTTAATTGTTTTTAGAATTGTAGCATTTCTGATATTTTCCATTTAAATTGCAGTACGACTGCATGGAGTCCGTTGAGCAGGGTTTACGTGATGGGATGAGAGCAGGAGGGCTATCATATGACCAGATGGCGGAGTATGCTGACTAGTTGGCGACAGGGGTTACAACTATAGGTTTTAGTGATCGTCGACATCCTGATACAGAGCCGATACAGCGGTTAGCCAGCTGGCCAGAGCGTAGGACTCAGCCATCGGGCTGGGGCGTGCCACCGCCACAGTTCACAGAGGAGCCCATGAGGAGGAGACAGCGACGTGAGCAACGTGACGTACCTCGAGGAGTGAGGTACTCAGATCGTCAGCCAGTCAGACCTACATCGACCTTCACATTCCAGCTAGTCAGACCTACTTTTACCGGATTTCAGGCAGACACCAGTTCTTCTAGCCCTCAGTTTCAGCCCCAGGAGGATAGCTTTCACACACCGCAGCATGCTACGATGGTTGGCGGGCACATGGGATCAGGTAGTACAGACCTGCCACATTTGGACGTCGATGAGTGGGAGCGTGTCGGTCTGCAGGTTCAGGATCAGGACTTCCAGACATCTCATTGGGCATATGAGCAGCAGCGACAGAGGGTGCACCGGATGAGCAGGTTCAGTCTCAAGTGGATGATATGTTCGGCACACAGGATCAGGATGATGGGGCGGAGAGAGATGAGCAGTTGCCTCCACGAGACAGGAGGCCAGCGAGGTGTGGTACTGGCGGCCATCTAGTGGCAGAGCACGGTGGTCGTCGTGGTGGTCGGCGTGGTGGTCGTTAGTGTATTTATGTACGTCTTTAAGATATTTATTATTATTATGTTCTTTGTGACTATGCATTATTATTATGTACTTCCTTGAGACTATTTATTGTTATGTACTTATTTTGGACTATTTTTAATCTCATGCGGACTAATTCATGTTAGTGCTATTGTCTATATTGAGACTTTAAATATAAAACCAACAAATATCAACAACTAGTTCAGTTCATAAAAGTCCTAACAACAACTTCAAACAACAACAACTTCTGCGAGCTAAATCGAAAGAAAAACAACAACTGCTACATTCGAACAAACTTCTCAGCCACGTCTATTCCCTCTACTTCCTCCTCTTCTACCACCTCTCGCACTTCGTTGGCCACCACTCCCTCTTCGGTTGCTCCCACTCCCACTTGCTTGGCCACCACAGGTTGATGCATTATGTCACGCTTGGTTACACTTGCTACACACTTGCTGTGATGAACCCTCCCTTGGTCAATCCATCTCGTTGTGAATTCGTGTTGATCTTGGCCTCCCCGGCTTCCTAATCATGTGCACATTAGGATGGAGAATAGGACCATTATGCTTCTTCCAACCCTTAGGTTCACCAAGAGGTGCGAAACTTGTCCCATAACAAGCCATCACTGTTTCCAGCTTGTAGACATCGTTGACAAACCTATACGCATTAGCCCCCATTCGGTTGCAAGCTGCAATGGCATGAGAGCAAGGAATTTTATTTCCTTGAAATTTACCACAGGTGCAAAATCCCTTCCGGTTGGGGTCGTCAAAGTGCACTGTGAGTGTGTTTGACCCCGTCATGTTGAAATTGTTGGGAGGAGTCTGAACTACATAGATGCCTTGACGTCGATCAAGAGCTGTCACAGAATGTCCAACTACCTTTTGTGACCACGGCTTCATCAGCTCTTCGCACTTGGTGGAGTACTGTGAAGGACCACTTCTAATTTCTGCTCCTGTCTCCAACCTGTACTTATCGAATTTCTCCACCAATCGCCAATAGGTATGTTGCACAAGAAAAGCTATAGGAAGTGCACAAATACCTTTGAAAATACCATTGACGGTTTCTGCCATGTTGGATGTCAGGATAGACCAACGACGCCCACCATTGTAGTTATCGTGTGCTAAACTCCAACGAATCTGATGTTGATCCACCCAGTTATCACATGAAATATTTCTATCAGCGGCCACCTTCTTAAATTGCTCAACTTAACGATCAAACTTCTCCAACCGTTTTTCTCCGGCTAACAAAATAAAATAAACCACCACAGGGGTTAGATAAATTCATGACAAAATTACATGAAAACAAATAACAAAATTAAATGAAGAAAGCTTACCAACTCGAAATAGTTGATTATACATAATTCTGCTTTTAGTCTTCCTTTGCAAATTGCTTGCATAGTGTCGCATGTACCACCTCCACTCCCAACCTCTTCCGATGTTATTCATGGCTTCATAGAGTCCTGCATGTCTATCTGAGATGATGCATACATCATTTCGATCAGTCAAACCCTGAACGTGACTTATGAACCATGGCCAACTATCAGTATTCTCACTCTCCACTATGGCAAATGCAATTGGAAAAATCTTCTTCCGGCCATCAAATGAGCTCGCCATGAGTAGCACTCCTTTATACTTCCCAGTAAGAAATGTTCCATCAACAACCATAACGCCTGGACAATTCTTGAATCCATCTATACGAGGTTCCATAAGCCCAGAATACTCGCTGAAATATTGAATGACCTGGTTGAGTCGAAGGAACTCTTACCCAATCAATCACCGATGTTGGCATTTTTCTCTTGACCACCCGCAAGAATGTTTGCAAAAAATCATAGGATTCTTCCCAATTTTCATACAACTTCTCCAATGCTCTTTGTTTCCCATACCAAGCCTTCTTGTAAGTAACTTGCATATTAAACTTATCTTTCAACTCGACCTGAACAGTTAGAACACTCAGATTTGGTTGGGCACGTACCAAGTGTTTGACGACCTCAGATATCACGTCGACATCAAGATGGCAATGATCAGTCGGTTGAGTCGTACTGCTACAAGTATGCACCAACTCGACCTTTCTCACGCTCCAATCGCCTCCCACATCTCGACATCCAAACCACACCATCGAAGGACATTTGTCCTCGTGCATCAAACATCTGATCTTCCAGATTGAAGGTGACGACTCCACCACGTTATACTGAAAGTTGCGTTGTAGTGCATAGTGTTTAATCGCCAACTGTGCAGCTTGTTTCAAGTGAAATATTTGCCCCTTGTAGAATTCTCCATCAAAACCACCAACAGTAGACCCTGGAATTACGCCATATGAATCAGCATATGATAATTCCTCGTCCTCTTCATTACCCTGCAAGTAAAAATATGGAGGATAATTAGGTTGTTCTCCTCCCTCCCCGTCGTCGTCGTCGTCCTCCTCCTCCTCCTCATCATCGTCTTCGTCATCTCCGTCATCACCGTCATCATAATCATGATCGGATGGCATGCTCCATGTGTCATCACCATCATCATCGTCTTCGTCTCCACCCCGATCCTCACTGAGCTCAGCATGTATCTCAGCACCCAAACAATAAGGATTTTGTGCCATAAAATTCCAAAGCACATTTAAGCTATCATCATCGACAATAGGCATTGCATAATGAAATAAAACACCATTCTGCCATTCTGGAAGACAATAGGTGAAACCTGTAATCACAACACTATCTTGTACTGTTTCGTCTCTAATCCGTATTCTCCGAATTAGATGATCACAAAGTTTCTGATAGTTCACTCTGGATGGAATAGTCATCTGGAAACTTAGACCACCAACAAAATGGACACCCAAATTGTCTTCTACTTTCTCTGATCGCCACCGAACAACTAGTTCAAATCTTCTAAAACTACTACATAAAAAACAAACTCACTAATTACTAACTGGACAAAATCATTATGATGAATACATGGAAAAAAAAAATACGACTCTTACCTGTTATTAGCCATCTTCCCAGCAACATCAGAGCTTCTTTCAGAACTTCTTTCAGATTTTTGGTGATTAAGAACCGAAGGAAAGGTGCAGTATATATGGTGATGGGTGGTGCTGGAGTGGAAAAAAATGGCAGCGACAAAGCCCCAGTCTGGGGCGCCGACGCTTTTACCTTCTTAAAAGCGACAAAGCCCCAGTCTGGGGCGGCGCCGCTGTGTTTTTTTGTTAAAAAAGCATCCGGCGACAGCGCCTGAGTATAAGGCTTTAGCGCTTTAAACATATAAAAAAACACAATATTCAGTTTCAAAACACTATATTCGTGGTAAAAAAACAATATTCGTGGAATTAACCCACGTGGAGAGTAGACACCGTCGCCTTCTAAACGAGACGATCACCAACCAAAACTGTTAACCGTAAGGGGCAGATTTACCAAAAGGAGAAAACGACACGACAGAAATGAACATAACATAGCAAACCAGGCTGAGCAAACATTCTATTAGAAATGCAAAATTTGCAGTTTCTTGTTTCTATTGCGAGACACTATGTTTGGCAATTGGCACCATCTGTATCGCTCAGCTCAGCGACAAGGAAGTAAAACAAAGGTTATCGATAGATGGAGAACTAATAACTATTTATTCAACCTCTAACACCACCATTGAACGACTATTCATTGTCTTCATCCCCATCTCCAGAATCTTTCTTGGACGATGCTGCTTTGATGTTCTTGCGCTTCACTCTACCAGGTTTGCCAGTACCTCCAAATGGACTAGTGATTGAGAAATCAACATGCTTTTGGGAGTCCACTCTAACCATGAAGGAAGGGACATTAACCACCTGTCTCCCAACCCTGAAACCAATAAAATAACACGTCCAAGTTAGCATGAACAAACCGGCTGTACAAAACCAGGAGCACCAACCGAAACCCCAACCTTTAAGAGAAGACTAACAAAGAAATTAAGATTGTTTGACGAATCTACCACCATTTCTTCTAGTTCATCGTTGACAGACATATAACTAGAGCATCCATAGAAAACATATTTGCTTGTAGCAACATCATACCAATGTGTATACAAACAATTTTGTTCTAAACAAGTTAGTTCTCATCTAGACCACTTAGAAGATGCATATCCTTAATAATAAATTATTTTAAAGGCATTTGATAAGAGGGATTACAAACTAAAACATGAACCAATCTTCAGAGGGCCAACAGAAGAAATCTACGACTTTCTTATGACCATTTTATTAACTTGACGATTGCTATGATAAGAGGTAGGAAGGATATATAAACAATGTTACGTATTACATGCCCAAAGATAGTCCACAAGGAAAAGAAGCAAGGAACACTATATTGGACGAAGCACCACCAACATGCATGGTTCAACATCTACAACCTAATCAGCAAGCAATGAGGCTATGCGACAAAAAAAAAATACAAACAAAGTCACTTTTCTCTTACCTAATATGTCTCTGCCGGATGAGAACTCGGGCATGATGAATTGACTTGGCCATCCCCGCTTTGAATATGACTGTTTGAAGGCGGCGCTCAAGAAAGTTCTCAACAGTGAGGGCCAACACGTAATCAAGCTTGTTTTGGCTCTCATCCAAAAGACCATACTTATTCATCCTCCTAAGAAGAGCTTCACCCTCAAAAATCCTACGTGGATTCTTCTCGTCAAGAGTTAAAAGCATTCTTGCTGCATTGCGAATACGGCTTAGTGCATACTGCACCCTCCAGAGTTCCCTCTTGCAGCGGAGTCCATACTCTCCGACAAGTCTTAGCTCAGCGTCTAAACGTTCCTTCTCATATGGACGCCTCGGTTTCTTAAAAGTTTTACCATCTGCCCATGAGAATAAATCAGTTAGTATACATTGCCCATGTTATTAATACCTGAAGATACAAGCACGTAGATACGATTCATTCATAAAAAATAAAAATAAAGAAACCCAATGAAGTTCTTCAGGCCAAATTTAACATGGTACTCCAGCATAACCATTATGAAATAACCTTGTGCAGTGGAAGCACAAACATCACCCAGATGGTTGGTTCTCCATTAAGCACCACACATCAAAAGTCCCCAGCAAGAAGCATCCCCCCAAAATCCCAAGCTCGCCACCTAGATAAAGCCACTTCTCTTTCCCCAACACATGTTACTTCAAAAAATTTCAATCAAGATGTAATGCAATACATTATTTGCGCTCACTACAAATAGGTAGTAGCGAAAGTTACCGTCCAGATCACTTCAAAACAACATCATACACCTTACTAACTGTTCATAATTCATATCACAAGAAGCTAAAGTAAGGAAGACCCAATTTCGGGAAAGCGCGAGCTTTATCCTAATAAACGAAAAAAATCACTAAAGATAAAGATTTCCATGAATCGCACGATCAAATCAAAGCGAATAATAAAGCAAAGATACTAGAGTATTAGAAATCGCAGCAGTAAAGATAATCATTGAGGAACTAAGTCCCCCAAAAATGCTAATCATAGCATCATACCAACAACTAAAATGGGGGAAAGAAAACTCACAGTTGCGGTAAAACGCGACGTGCACCATCTATCCACAGCTACTCCTTGACTTCTTCAGTAATCGTCCGGTGTCCGTTAACCTCTCGCCACCATTCCAAAATCTGAAAGCAAGAAGAAGCGGAGGTAGAGCTCGGCTGCCGTTTAACATTTTATATGTGTTGGGCAGAGAAACAATAAACCCTAGCCACAATCATTGGGCGGACAAGTTTTAGCCCAAGCCCAACATCTTGCTTGTTCGTCTTAGGCTGAAAACGTGCATCCAAGAGGAAATTGGTTTGGGCCAAAATTAACTCAGCCTAGTAGAGGTGGCTATTTCCGGACATTTTGGTTTTGCCAAAATCTATACGTATCGAGATTGGACCGGGACAGAATAGCAAGCAATACAATTACATTTTTGGGCCAAGATTTGAGATAAAAAATCGTTCACGATCGGACCGAAAATCGGATAAGAGAGCCCAACACCTAAAATTTAACCTACTCACTTTTTCAGCCATCAGGCCACTCAAATCACCACAAGCTCAATCTAAAATCAAAACCTAATTGGGAACGAACTGTATCCAATCCAATTTTGTGTCCTTATATTCTCGAAAATACCGGACCGAGACCAGATCAATTCGAGCCAATTTAACCAGACCGGACCGTATAACCACCCCTACTGCTAGTCTTGCCTATAGGTGTCAATAGGGCGGGTTCAGATTGGGTTCAATCGGGTTTCGAGTTTAACGGATTTGGGTACAATCGGGTTTCGAGTTTAACGGATTTGGGTTCAATCGGGTATGGGTTCAATTGTATTGCAGGTTAGTCGGGTTGTGGGTTTATCGAGTTCGGGTTCAATCGGGTTTCTGGAAAATTGGGTTACGGGTTCATCGAGTTTCGATTCAGGCAGGTTGCAAGTAGATCGGGTTGCGAGTTATTCGGGTTAGCGCATCGAGTTACTTATTCCTTACTCGCTACCAGCTTACACATTTTATTACACTAATTTGAAATATTTTTCACAATTATTAACCAATTTTTTTCTACCTTGTATATATACTTAAAACTTTTTTAAAAAAACTAGTCAAAATGTTGAATCAATTTATATGATTTGCAAACTTGTCATGTTATTAATCATAATTGGTAAAGTACATTACCTAATAGTAATGGTGATATCAACATTTGCAACCAATAGATACTATTAACAAACCATACATTCAAAAAACAAATCACCACTCTTAGGGGTTTGCAACGGGAAACGGGTATTTGGATATACTTATATTCGTCCCGTTGTTTAGAGGTACGGGTACCCAAATACGCGTATTTTTTTTTACAAGATGGGATTTGAGATCAAACATTTCTACAATAGGTACCCACGGGTTACCCGTTATTACCCGTTTAGGTATTACGGGTACCATTACAACTCGTCGGCTTAGTTAGATGATAGCTCAATAATTCGACTAATTGAGATGGTATTGTCTCCAATCGAAGATTGAAGACTGATGGTTGAATTGCAAGGAAAGTGATGAGTGCATGTTTTTGGACCGTCTAGGTCATTAGGGTATTTTCGGATATTATTATTATTACTTTTGGTTTTCTTTTAGCTATTTTGGTTATTATTGTTTCTTGTTGGGGAAGTAATCAGTTAGGAGTCAGTATAGGATTGGGTTTCCTTGTACGAAGGGGAAGGAGTTTATGGGATTCGTGCTATGAATATGTACTTGGCCTCTACGTTTTCTTTACCAGAATAAGAATAAACCAGTTTTCTTTAGCTTTCTCCCTCTTTCTCGTTCTAAAGCCCTGACGCGTGAACCGCCACGCGTCAATTGGTATCAGAGCCTGGTTATGAAAGAACCCAGGAGCCAGCCTCGATGTCGCCGAAGAAGAACACGTCTTCTTCTTTGGAAGCCGCCGCCGCCGCCGCCGCCATCGGCCAGCAACTCCGAGACACCATGGATCGAGTGGTCGACTTCGATCACCAGCTGTGAGCCGCCGAGGAAGAGCGCGGTCAACTCTGCATTGACGTTGATCGCATGGGGAAGCCTGGCCCTCGACGATGATGACGGAGCAGACACTAGGCTGGTAAAGCTCCCGACGACATTCGATGAGTTGCCCAGATGTGACGGCCACCCGCGTGGAGCTGGGGAGAGCAGCAGAGCTGTACCCACCAGGGTCGAATCGGGAAGGGAGCTGTACCGGGAAAAAGAAGGGCATCGGACCAATCAGAAGTTGTTCGCCGACACGGACCGACCTGTAATTCGGTTGGAGCTCATGAGCGAGGAATGCAACGATTGAAGAAGCTGGAACAACCTATTCAGATTCTATCTATCACATGTTGCAGCAGAAATCAAGAGAAGTTGATCAGGATTCAATTGACTCAATAAACACACTTCAATCGATTATAATCAAACAGTATATCATCCCAAAAGTTATAACAATCAAGATCCCTAACACATGGAACTAGGATTCTTCATACGCAAGTGAGAGAAAGGTCTACTCGATAGAGAGAGAGAGAGAGAGAGAGAGAGAGAGAGAGGAAAACATAAATCAAAGCAATCATACTCATAAAGATGAGAATTATCTGCTCTGGGATGTCAATCTTCACTCCTCGGGATGCAATATGGGCTTCAATGGTGAGAAATCCACTCCAAATAGCTCCTAGGGTTTGTTCTTCGCACTTTCTCTCTCTAGAACTCTGTTTTTGCTCCAAAAAGTCGAATCCCCTTCCTTTGGCTTGAATCTGCCTCTTTCAACCCGATTCTGGGCGAAATACGGGTAGAAATACGGTCGTAATTCACATACGCCCATATTTTTCCTGAAACACATTTCACTTATTGTTGATGAGGGAGGAAATACGGTCGTAGTTACCAAAATACCGACCGTAATCACAAAAATACGACCGTATTTCTAAACTGGTCTTGCCCGTATTTTTCACTTCCTTAGACATCTCCATGGGCTTGACTCGACATTAAATTTACAGGCAAGAGCAAGCAAAATACGACCGTAATTCTTAGCAAGACAACCGTATTTTGCAATTGACCACTCTCCAGGTTCGACAGTAAAAATACTGGTAGACGCCAACAGAAGCACGGTCGTAATTCCTCAGGGGACAACAGTATTTTGCACCCTGAATCGCCAAATGACCTCCAAATGACCCGAAACTTGCGCCATTGCCTTCATTTACCTGCTAGGACCTGAAATGTGACAAAATAGCACAACCTAGCGTAAAATAGGCCAATGAACCACAAATTCGAGCTAAAACGGTCAGGAAACTAGAGTGCGAACATGTGCAAAAATGGTGCTATCAATGGCGATTGGGAAGTCATTTGCTAACCTGTCTCAGTTGATTCTTGCAATGGTTGACAAGAATCATGGGTCCGTTTTTGTGCTTAGTTACGAAGATTTTGGAGGGGGTGGTAAATGCGTGTTTAATCGACTATTTTGGGCATTCAAACCATGTATTGATGGTTTCACTCATTGTTTGCCAGTAATCCAAGTTGATGGCATCTTTCTGACCGACAAATGCTACTGAACTCTACTCATTGCCACTACTGTTGATGGTGGTATGCGACTTTTCCCACTTACTTTTGCTGTAGTTGAATCGGGGAACAACTTAAGTTGGGCATGGTTTTTTCCCCAACTATACACTATTGTCACTCAACGGAAGGACATTGCCATACTTTTTGATTGACACCATGGAATTTCAAATGCAATGTATGACTTGCTAGAGGAGTTAGGGTGGAAGTGGCGCTAGTGCATACGACATTTCAAAAGCAATTACGGGAAGCACTTTGGTCAAACTTTTGGACAACGTGCAGTTTGGCACGCTGGTAAGAACAAATAAGCTGTTTCATTAACTCAATTGATTTAATGCGTTTTCTCCTTTACTAACCCTATGTTTATTTATTGTAGCTATTGCTTTTCATACTCCAAAGTTTGTAGACAAAATGAAGAAAATAAGGGAGGTCCACCCTGAAGGTGCAGATTGGCTAGAAACTCATGATTTTCAAAGGTGGACGTTACATCAGGATGAAGGGTATAGGTATGGAATAACAACAAACATGAGTGAGTGCCTCAATGATTTGTATGTTGGTCTTCGTGCAATGCCTATATCAGCTCTAGTCTTGCATACCTTCTTTCGTACGGTGATATGGTTCGTTGAGCACTACCAAGCGGCATATCAATTGCTGAATGCCGAAAATTACATCCGAAAGAAGATTATGGATGACATGGCACCATGGTGGGAAAGGGAAAAATGGCATAAGGTTACTTTATTTAGTCGAAGAGATTCTTGCTTTGCAGTAGAAAGAGGAAGATCACCAGACATTTCAAAGGGAGGTAATGCACAGAAAATTACACTAGATGCAAGGAATGGAACATGAGAGTGTACTTGCGAGAAGTTTCAAGGAAGACACCTGTCTTGCTCTCATGCATTTGTAGCTGCGATAAGTGTTAATATGGACCCAACTATATTTGTTAGGCCATACTACAAGACTCGATACGTTGTAGAGTTTGGGATGGGTCGTTCATACTCTTAGCTCATGAAGTACATCGGCCCCATTATGATGGCCTAGTAGTGTACCCTCCCGAGCATAGGAAGCGTACCAAAGGTCGACCTAGAGTTAACCAGATTGAATATGAGATGGATAGATCAAGGAGACAGCGACGTGGCCCGAAGAAGTGCTCTGCATGTAGAGTCGAAGGGCATGATAGGCTTAGGCGTTAGTGTCCAGGGCCATCAACTGACAATTGAAAGTGTTTATGTTGTAATTTGAATTTTTTTTATGTTGTAGTTTGATGACTTTATGTTGTAATTTTGGGCTTTATGTTGTAATTTGAGAACTTTATGTTGTAATTTTAGGACTTATAGCTCTAGTGTTTGGATTTTATGTTGTAATTTGAAGTTTCAGTGGTAATTTGAGGACTTTATGTTGTAATTTGAGGACTAGAACATATAACAACTCAAACATACTTAACAACTCTAGAAAATAGAACAATTAAAAAATACAGTCAAACTCAAGAAAATAGAATAGAACAACACGAACATATGGACAACTATAGAAAATAAAACAACTCAAACATACAGACAAACTCTAGAAAATTAGAACAACTTAACAACTCTAGAAAACAACACAACTCGATAATAGAATAACTCTAGAAATCACTCCGCTCACTCTTGTGCCCCACGTTCGCATCCCTCTCTTTGAGCTCTATTCCTTTCACGAACTCCATGTCCAATTGGAGAATGTCGACGCAGTGGAAAGGTGGGGGGGGGGGTGCAGTGGCTAGAGGAGAGTAGTAGACATGGCCCATCAGAGGCTAGAAGCTTTGCTGCGGGGTTTGGAATTGAGGGTCGACATTGCGGGGAGCATAGTTGGCTCATCCTCCCTCTTGTTGAGTAGAACTTGATGATCCCTCTCCGAATTCGCTTCTTACAGGGGGAATCCAAACTCGTATGGGGCAGGAAGTGCCACATCTTCTCGAACTTGCACAGGGACTCTAACTGGCTCTTGCTGAAGTTTACTCCTCCTTGGTGGCGATGGCGGAAGGGATTCAACTTCAATGGCATGGGAGGAAGGACATGGCGGTGCAGCAATGACATTCCTTCGAATTTCCTACGAACATGACAGGAGATTCTTTAAGAGCTTCTTCAAGAATGAAAATTTCTTAGGCCCCAAAGTTGATTTTGGTTCAGTCTCCAGAGCCATTGACGGAGGTTCCAACCCATCAACCTAGTTAACAAACACGTTAGTCAAATACTCTCTGTGTAGCGAAAGTAAATAAGGAAAACATATATGTATGCTTACCACATACCAATCCATACTTGGTGCTTGTTTGGACAATCACTTACTATACCCCGCAGATCCTTCCTATATTTGTGGAGTGCCTTATGTACGTCCGGTGGTGGGAGAGGAATCGACTGCGCCCAATTATATTGTCGGACACATCTATTCGGGAGGTGCCACTCAACAATGTTGTGGCAAATCACAGGCAACTTGCATTTACCAGAGTCGATGATCCTCATTTCTTTTAACATATGTCGCCCGAACATGCCACATGCATCCGTTGCCATGGTTCTCGCAGTGGACATGAATTTTTTTAGTGTCGAAAGTGATGACACGATATTGAAAGCTTTCGCATCGCAGTTTCTTTCAATGCATCAACCACTTGAGGCTTTCCTCCAAATGTTTGAACAACCAAAAACCTGGAATCAAGAGTCCAGATGGGTATAGGAGGGAGGTCAGGATCGTCGTTGTGAGCATAGAGAGGATGTTGTGGCACCATCGTGTAGTGAGGTGTGGGGGGCTCGAATTCCCTCTCATCAACTTCCACAACTTCACCATCTAAACTACTCACTGATTCTAAATCTTCCTCTTCCACGTCGCTTGCCTCGCTAGTGTTAGGGGGACTAGATTTATCAACATATGGATCATTGTTGTTGCCAGATGCTTGTTTGGGTGCCTGTCTGGGTGCCCTTATGTAATCCCATTCTTCACCCCATACTCGCCACTCTTGTCCATCATGTTCAACCAATGGTACATTAGCTGGACCTCCAAAATATCTAGAACTAGAAACTCCACCCCGATCCTTCTCCTGGTTTGGTATAACCCCCACCACCATACTGGCCAACATCTTCAGTCTCAACATACACCTCGACAAATGGAAATCTTCTTTCTGTAATAAGTCTCACCATAATATTAATGTCATTTTCGTCAGAAAGTCATATACAAGTGCATATCCTTTGTAAACTGGCATACAGTAAGTCATCTTGCATACTCTTTCCCCCCCCCCCTCCCATGCAACATCATTCTGCACAAATGTGGCAGAGATCTTGCCAAATAAATATGCTCTCAATCCAGACAGTACTTGATTCACCACCTTCATATTCCATACTATTATGAAAATATGTAATTCGACCATTCCACCGAATCAATGGGTAGACTTTTTATAAATTTTATATCCATTTCTGCAATTTATAGAAACAACCCATTACATATAGTTCAAACAATACTGAATTAATCCAAAATTCTAATGCTCACTCACCAACATAATCATAACTTACCTCCAAAATGCTTATTCTTTCCTCAGCTATGGTGCTCCTGCTGCTGTAGTTTGTGTTGGAAGAAAGAAGATAGAAAGTATATGAGCTGCCATAATGTGTTGAGTGCTTGGTTTTTATTTTCGTAAAATGGTGGCATGGTTCGAAGTTGTGTCCACGGAACTAGGGCAGTTCGAGTGCAAGGGACTCAATCAATAAGGAACAAAATTTTTATCCTTGCACCCTATCCTGAGGC